TCCTGCGCCAGCTGGGCCGCCGGCTGGACGACACCAGGCAAGGGGGCGGCACTGGCGGGAGGGGCTCAGCGACGGGACCCTTCCCCCTGAGCACCCGGCAGGACCGGCCCGGTCCCCCCTCCTGCGCCAGCTGGGCCGCCGGCTGGACGACACCAGGCAAGGGGGCAGCACTGGGGGGAGGGGCTCGGCGACGGGACCCTTCCCCCTGAGCACCCGGCAGGACCGGCCCGGTCCCTCCTCCAGCCTGCTGGGCTGGGGGCAGATGCCCACGTTGCTGCCCCAGCTGGCATGGCCGGCCCCTCGCGAGCAGGCCCAGCAGAGGCCAAGGAGATGGAGACCCCGTGTGGGTGCAGGGCTGAGCCCCACTGCCAAGGCTGGCACGAGGGTGCCGGCTCAGACTCCTCCTGCACCTGTGCCTGGAACTGCCAGCAGCTGCTCCGGCCAGCCCTCTGGACGTCCATCTCCTGTGCCCATGCGCCTGCCGCTGTGCTGGGGAGAGGGGCCTGGTGGCTGGGACGGGGGGGGGGGGCAGGTCCCGCCCTGTGCCCACTCTGAGCTGTGCCCCTAGGGAGGACATGGACGAGGTCTGGAAGCAGCTGCAGGCCGCGGAGGGGCGCCTGGACGGGCTGGCTGGGGCGGACGCGGAGCAGAGGGGCCGCCTGGCCAACCTGAGCAGGGAGCTGCAGGAGCTGAACCGCACCCTGTCCCGCCAGCAGGAGCAGCTGGCAAACTGGAAAGAGGCCAGCTTTTGGGGTAAGGGGGACAGAGTCCCCACGGGAGCCCCTCCCTGCCCTGCCCTGCCTTGCCCCCAGGTGGGGCAGCCACGTCTCCCTGGCCACACAGGGGCAGAGCTCTCCACGGCCCGGCCTGATGCCCTGCTCCTGTGCCCTGGCAGAGTCCTACCGGAGCATCCAGGCCTCCTCGGAGAACTCGAGGCAGGCGGCGCAGCGGGCCGGTGCCTCCGTGCAGGGGCCAGCCAGCCCGGTGGGCCAGGCCCAGCGCACACGGCAGGCCGCGGAGGGGCTGCTGCGTGACACCGGCGACACCTTCCGCAGGACCCTGGCAGCGCAGAGGAGGTCGCTGCGGGAGGCCCAGAAACGGGCAGCTACGCTCAGCGTCTCCGGGCTCAACGAGAGGGTGAGCAGGGGGAGGGCGGGGCTGGGAGAGCCCAGGACGGGGCAGGGCTCTGGCTGTGGGTTGGGCTGGGGCCCTGGGGAGGAGAGCCCGGATGGGGCAGGACCCGAGCCCAGGAGGGGCAGGGCCGGGAGTAGGATCACCAGATGTCCCGATATTTAACTCCTCGTCCTGCGTCCCGACCGATGGACGATCGGGACGTCATTTGTCCCCATACTGAAAGGTTGCCAGGCGTCCGGTTGGTGCGGGGCCAGCAGGCTCCCTACCCAGCTCTTGCAGCTCCCCAGAAGTGGCGACATGTCCCTGCTGCTCCTAGGCGCAGGAACAGCCGGGGGGGTCCGCACGCTGCTCCCGAGTGCCGGCTCCGCAGCGCCCATTGCCCGGGAACCATGGCCAATGGGAGCTGCGGGGGCGGCGCCTGTGGGCGAGGCAGTGTGCAGAGCCTCCTGGCCGCGCCTCCGCCTAGGAGCCAGAGGGAGATGTCACCACTTCCAGGGAGCCGCCTGAGGTAAGCGCCGCCCGGGCCTGCACCCCGCACCCCAACCCTGAGCCCCCTCCCGCATCCAAACTCCCTCCTGGAGTCAGCACCCTGCCCCCCCTCCCGGGCCCCAACCCCCTGCCCCAGCCCAGAGACTCCCCCTTGCAGCAGGGGCCGGAGCCAGGGCAGTGCACCTCCGACCCGCAGCTTCCTACGGCTTTGCGCTCCCCGCCCCCATGAGTCACGATATTTTATTCTTACGATCTGGTCACCCTAGCTGGGGCTGGGGGTGGGGGCGGGGGCCTGCTGGGAGGAGTGGGCTGACCCGGCTGGGCTAACTGGGAGGGGAGGCGGAGCAAACCAGGACACAAGGGCTCCTTTGACACGTTTAGAAGCGAGCCGGGAAAGCCCCACGGGTAGCAGGAGCTGAAATCGGACAGCCCGTGGCCAAGGCATGATGCTTAGAACGGGCAGCTCTAGGCTCCCCGCTCAGGGCCCGAGGGGCCTTGGCTACGCTGCCCAGCTAGGTCCAAAGCCATGGGGTTCGCCGCAGAGATCTCTCTCCAGCAGCCTGTGCAGCTTTTCCTCTCCTGGGCTGGCCGTGCAGCTCCGCTCTCGCTGGCCTGTTCTTTGCCTCTCCTTGGCTTGGCTGCTCCTGGGGCTGTCCCTCTGCACCCAGTTTGACCCCAAGCAGGTGTCTTCACCTGGGCACTGGGCCCCTTTGACCTGCATTGCCTCACTAGACGGTCAGTCTCTGGTCACGTGCTTCAGGCTCTGTGGAGGTGGGGGGCGTCTCGCTGACCCTTTGCAGGATCTGGTTTAAGCTAAAACTGCCTTTGGCGCCGGTCCCGTTTTCACCGGGTGGATTGCCTTGACGCTCTCTCCCGCGCGTCCCTCCATTTCCCTCTCTGAGTGTCTGCTCCCAGACCCAGGTCTGACTTTCCTGCTTCTCCTGACCTCAGACCTTTCCTCCTTCTTACTTCCCAGTTCTTCTCTCATCTGATCCCTTCCCCAGCTCCACCCGCTAGCTCAGCCTCTACATCCTTCTCCTTCCCCTACAGCTCTTTCCAACTGCCCCTTCGGGTGGATCCCGAGCCCCCTCCTTGGCCGTCTCGCCCCAGGACAGCGTTCTGGGCTGCTGCGTTGCCGGAGCAGGCACCAGGGCAGGGTTACCACAAGGAGGCCCTCCAGGGAGAGAGCTGGGGCAGGGCTTGGGTGCCCCCTCTCATGGATCCACAGGGTCGGTGCGAGGTCCCAGCTTTTAAACAGTACCCTGGGAGAAGCCCTTCTGTGGGCCAGTCCCACAATGGGCCCCACCCTTCTGCCAGGGTCGGCCACGTGGCTTGCCAGCCCCTTACACTGGCTATCAGGGTTCCCTCCCCACTCTGAACTCTGGGGTACAGAGGTGGGGACCCGCATGAAAGTCCCCCTAAGCTTATTTTTACCAGCTTAGGTTAAAAACGTCCCCAAGGCGCAAATCCTTCCTTGTCCTTGGATGAGTACTGCTGCCACCACCAAGTGAGTTAGACAAAGATTCAGGAAAAGGATCACTTGGAGTTCCTGTTTCCCCAAAATATCCCCCCAAGCCCCTTCACCCCCTTTCCTGGGAAGGCTTGAGAGTGACCAAGGTGAGCACAGACCAGACCCTTGGGTTTTTAGAACACTAAAACCCAGTCAGGTTCTTACAAAAACAGAACTTTATTATAAAGAAAAAAAAATAAAAGAAGCACCTCTGTAAAATCAGGATGGAAGGATGGATTCAAAACACAGAGGATTTCCCCTCTAGGCAAAACTTTAAAGTTACAAAACCAGGGATAAACCTCCCTCTTAGCACAGGGAAAATTCACAAGCTACAACAAAGGACAAGCTAACGCATTTCCTTGCTATTACTTACTATTTCTGTAATATTAGATGCTTAGTTCAGATATGGCTAAGGGAGATGTATTTTCCCTGCTCTGGTTCCTCGCTGACCGGAGAGAACAAAGGAACCCAAATCAAAAACCTTCCCCCACAGATTTGAAAGTATCTTCTCCCCTTATTGGTCCTTTTGGTCAGGTACCAACCAGGTTATTTGAGCTTCTTAACCCTTTACAGGGTAAGGAGGGATTTTATGCTACCCTTAGCTGTATGTTTATGACACTGGCGCTCTGGGCTCCAGCCCCTGCTCCGCCCTGCGAGCTCTGCCCAGCGAGTGCCCCTGAGCCAGAGCCAGGCAGAGCCCTGCCCACTGCGCAGGGACCGATGCCCCTCGCCCAGGGCCTGCAGCAACTCCCCCAGCGCTGTCCCCTGGCGCGGCACAGGGAGTCCTTAGGGCAGCCCAGAGAAGTGAAGGTTGCAGCATCGGCCATCCTGCTCAGCCAGCGCCCAGCCCCTTGGTACAGGCTCTGTCTGTCTGCCCTCCTTTGGCAGAGCCCCGGGGAGAGCCCCGGCTCCTGCCAGCCCCCAGCTCTCCCCCCCCCCCCCAGTGTTTTGATCTCAGCTGTGGATTGTCCAGCCCCCCAGGGGAGGCAGGGAGCTCAGGTCCCTCTGGGGCGTTGGGTGCTTGGTGCCAGCGTCCTGGCGAGTGGAGTCGCCAGTGTCTTCTCAGATGCCCCAGTGACATGGGGAGCAAGGCCCAGACGGCCACGTCGCTTCCCCTACCCTGAGAGCAATCAGCCCTTCCCCACCCACTGGGGAGCCAGGCAGCACCGCGGGGAAACTGAGGCACAGACAGGCCTCATAAAAACATGACCAAATATTCCCACGTTGTCCCAATCCACCTCCCCTAGAGGGGTGGCAGGATCGCTGGGAGAACTCTCCTATCTACCTAGCGCTGCCTCCACCGGTCTCAGCTCGGGTCGCTCCGGGAGGGCGATTTTTTTCAACCCTCTGAGCCATGTGGTAACACTGACTTCATTTCCTAGTGTAGAACAGGCCTTGAGCTGCCCTGGGAGCAAACTGAACCCTCCTCCCCGCCCCTGGTAGCCATGTGGAGCACAGGGAGAAACTGAGGCACACCCTGGAGTCATACAAATCATTCCCCCTTTGTCGCCGCCTCCCTCCCAGCTGTGGGGCCCTCAGTGAATGCAATGGCAAGCCCAGGGTTCTGCCCTCCTCCCCTGGGGCCGGCTGGCTCTCCGGCTGACCCCCTGCCATGCGCTCTCTGCCCTGCAGATCTGTGGGGCGCAGGGAGATCAGGGCTGCGAACAAGCCCCCTGTGGAGGGGCCTCCTGCCAGGATGACTCCGGGCAGCGGCGCTGTGGGGGCCCAGGCTGCAGGGGGGCGCTCCCCGTCTCCACGCAGGCCCTGCGCTCCGCCCAGGATGTCTCACGCCAGTTGGAAAGCACGGCCGGGCAGCTGGGCACCATCGCCCTTAAGGTACAGCATGGGCAGGGGCGGGGACGGTCTCCTCGGGCATCAGGCCTATGATTTAAGCTGCAGGGGTCCCGGTGAGGGTGTCTCTCACAGGGTCTGCTAGCCTCGCACGCCTGTGGGCACCACCCTCGCCCCACGCAGCTTTGTGCGCACACAAGTGTGCCAGTCACATGCCTGTGCTGCCTGCTGGGCACCCCCTTGTGTGTTCCCCCCACACTGGGTGTGGCACACAGCTGGCACCAGCCTGGAGCAATCAGCTGTGAGGCCCTTCCAGGTGCAGGAGATCCAGGAGCTGGCCCGGGGCGCCAGGAGACGAGCCCAGGAGACACTGGATGGGTCCCAGGCAGCCAGAGGCCACATGGAGGAGGCCACAGCCAGGCTGCGAGAATTCATCCAGAAGATCAAGGGCTTCCTGGCAGGTAGGAGCTGGGGTGGGCCTGGGGTTCCCAGGAGCTCCGGTGCCCTCTGCAGCCTGGCGTGGTGGGCGTCCCAGGGCACCGCTACGCCAGGCCCAGCCACGGGCAGGCATGGGGTGAACCGGGGCCCAAGTTGGCGGCTGCTCCAGTCCTGTGGGTGCCCAGCCATGCCCTGGCCTGCCCCCGCTGGCATGCCTAGGGCCTGCTGCCCCCGCTGAGGGCCTTCCCTGTCTGCAGAGGAGGGAGCCGACCCGGAGAGCATCGAGCTGGTGGCCCGGCAGGTGCTGAACATCTCCCTGCCCAGCAGCCCCAGCAGGGTCCGGCACCTGCTGCAGGAGATCCAGGACAGTATCCGGCAGCTGGACGGGGTGGACGCAGTCCTGAACAGCACGGCCCACGGCCTGGCTGCCGCCAAGGAGCTGCTCACACGGGCAGGGCAGGCCAGGTGAGTTACCGGGGACGGGAGCAGGCCAGGGGCACTTGCTGAGCGCGTGGGGGGAGTTTCTGGCTACTCTGGTCCCAGCCTTTCCCTGCAGGAGGCGCTGTGGGAGCAGGGTGCTGGTTGTGGAGGTGGGGCAGGGGGCAGTTCTGGGGGAGCTCCCAGCAGGGGGTGCTGTGGGGGTGGGGCGCTGGCAGGGGGGGCTCCTAGCAGGGGGTGCTGTGGGGGTGGGGCGCTGGCTGTGGGGAGCTCCCAGCAGGGGGTGCTGTGGGGGCGGGGCAGGGGGCGGTTCTGGGGAGCTCCCAGCAGGGGGCGCTGTGGGAGCGGGGGGTGGCTGTGGGGGGAGCTCCCAGCAGGGGGCGCTGTGGGGTCAGGGCGGGGCAGCTGCCTGGGGGCAGGGGTGGGAGGGGCCGAGGCTGACGCTGTCCTGTGCCCCCCAGGGAGCGAGCGGTGGGCGTGAGGGGGGTGATCGCGGCCACGCAGGAGGTGCTGGCAGGGGCGAAGGTCCAGGTGTCCGTGGCGGGGCAGGCACTGAGGAGCACCAAGGAGGCGGTCCGGGGCGTGGAGAGCAGCGTGAAGGAGGTGAGGGGCTCTGCCATCCTGGGGACCCTCGTGGCCCCCCCAAGCCAGGCTGTGTCCTGCCCCGGAGTTATCCGCACACATTCAGGCACCCACCCGTTCCCAGTGCGTGGGGCTCTGGGTGCACACGGCTGCTGCCGGGGGGCAGGACCTTTTCCCAGGGAAAGAGCCTCACCCAGTGATACCCTCCATGGCCTCTAGTTACTCACTCCCTGCGGCCAGCCAGGGTTAGGGCCGTCTGGGGGGCTCCGGTCTCTGCCAGTGTCATGGGCAGAGAGCTGAGCTCGGGCGGCTCTCACCTGGGGCTGGGGCCTGGATGGGTTCCCAAGAACTCCCTTTGGAGCCCAGTTTATAGAGTACCCCGAGTTCTGGTTGGCTCTGCCGTAGCCAATCGTTACCCTAACATCTTACTAGCCAATCCGAGCCCAGCGTAACAACGTTCCCAACCAATCCTGGGCCAGCCCGAGAGGAACCAGCGAAGCCCCAGCCAGCGAACGCCAGGGCATGGGGCGCCGACAGCGCACGGGGGAACGAGGGTTTCACACCCACGCCCGTTGAGCAGACAGACGCTGTTCGAAGCGGTGGCTGTCCCTGGTGATGGTGGGGGCAGTAGGACGGGGTCTCCGTCCCGCCAGCCCGATAGGACCTTGTTCAATGTCATTTCGATGGACGGTGCGGCCGTGACTTCCTGCTCCTCGGCTAATGCTGCTGCAGACAACGGCCTGATCCCCACGCCCTGAACCCCCCTTACCTCCGCTGGCTGGAGCCCTCCCCTCCCGTCCCCAGCTGCTCTTCCCGGGGCCGGGCCGGGGACTCGCTGGGGCTGTGTGGACTCTTAGCCTGGAGGTGGGGGCCAGGGGGGCTCCCACAGGCTGGGCCAGGCCACAGCCCCATGGGCAGCCTGTAGCGGCCGCGCTGCGGGGACGGGTGGGACCTGGGGCACCCCCGTCCCGCTGGCTCCGGCCCCATCCCCCTCTGTCCCGCGCAGGCCGAACGCAGGCTCCGGGGGCTGCAGGAGAAGGAGGCGCAGGTGCTGAGGCCCCTGCAGGCGCTGGCGAAACAGGTGGCTGTCCTGCAGGACAAGTCCAGGGCCAACCGGGGGCTGGCCAAGGAGGCCAAGGAGAAAGCTGAGCGAGCCGTGTCAGCCACAGGGGCGCTGGGCCAGGTGAGAGCCCCCAGTCCTGCCGTGCAGAGCCTGGAAATGCTGCTTCCAGCATGTGACCCCTCCCCTGGGCCCCTGGATGCCAGCCCCTGCCCTCCCCCTCCCCCGCACAGAGCCCTCCCCCTCCCCCACACAGCACCCTCCCCCCAGCCCGCACCCTCCTCCTCCCCCGCACAGCGCCCTCCCCCCAGCCCACACCCTCCCCCGCCTGCCTGTTGGTGCCCCTCCCCCGCACAGCACCCTCTCCACCACCTGCTAGCCCATGCCCTTCCCCCACCCTATGCCCACCAGTCTGCTCTCCCCCGTCCCCCTCACTGCAGCACTGGGCATTGGGGGCAGTGGGCCCACGCACCCAGAGGGCAGGACCCCCACAAGCCTGGCGCCGGGTGTCAGCCTGTGCCCCTCTGCCCCAGGCGCTGGCAGCGGTGAGGCAGCGGTACGCGGCGCTGGAGAGCCAGGTGGGTGGGCTGGCCGGGGCCTCGGGCGACGCGCTGCTCCGGGCGACGCGGCTCCTGCAGGACGCCCAGCAGCTCCTGGACAAGGCCAGCGGCAGCCAGAGGAAACTGGAAGGTACCCGGGGCGCGCGGCTGGGGGCGGCAGGAGCAGTGCCCAGCCCCACTCGCCAGGGTCCCTGCGGCCCCCCATTCAGACGGGTGCTCTGGGAGGGGGATGGGCACGTGCCGCGTGGGGGCTGCGGGCCAGGCTGGCTGTGGCGTGCGAAGGGCCCGGCGTGGGGGGCAGGGTCCCCGTAGGTGGTGCGGTCATGGCGGGGGGCTCACCGCTGTCTCCGCCTGTCTGCAGAGCTGGAGCGGCGCTTCGAGGCCGGCGAGGAGGTGCTGGAGGCCAAGGCCACGCAGCTGCAGGCGCTGGAGAGACGGGTCTCTGGGCTGCTGGAGGAGATCAGGGAGAAGGCCAATGCCTACGCCACCTGCTAGTGCCAGGGTACCGCCCGCCGGGCCAGACAGCCAGGCTGGACCCCCACAGTGCCCCCCTCCCCCCTGCCAGTCTGAACCCCCCCGGTGCCCCCCGGGCCGGACTGACAGTCTGGACCCCCGCGCCTTCCTCCGTGGTGCCCCCTGCCTGCCCACCAGTCTGGACCCCCACGGTGCCCCCCCGCCCCACCTGACTGTCAGTCTGGACCCCTGTGCCTTCCTCCCCGGTGCCCCCGCCGGGCTGCAGTGTCCTGCTCCCCCCTTCCCCCGCCGTGCTGCCTTGTCCCCCCGGTCCCCCAGGGCTGGGGAGCTGACCATGGCTGCTGGGCTGGGCCTGTGACCTCGGGCACTGGCCACCCTTGGAAGGGCTCAGTGGGATGCTGGCAGCAGCTGGGGGCTCCCCTGGGGGAGCGGTGGGGGTTGCCTGCCCCCTTCCCCCCTGCAATGCAGACTAGGCAAATGGACGAGGGATTTGGGTCCCACTCGTCCCCCTTCTCTGCCTGAATTGAAATAGGGAGCAGGGCCCCAAGCACAGAGAGACACCCCCAGCAGGGCCCCCCCAAGGACACCTCCCCTCCACAGGGACCCGGGGCAGAGAGACACCCCTAACAGGGCCCCCCCTGGGGACACAGGTTCATGGTGTGATGAGGCCCTTGCCCCCGCATCCCAGACAGTCATGGGATTATTTCCTGCCCCTCCCACACACCCCAGCAGGTGGGGCTGGGGAATGCCTCACAGGGAGGGCAGAGCCAAGTGCCCGTGCTGCCGTGGGGCTCAGCGCTGGCGTGCAGGCCCCTCCACTGGCAGGGATGCCCCAGCCACCCCACAGTCCCATACCCTTTGCCCCCCATAGGGGGAGCCAGGAGTTCTGCTGGCAGCCTGCTCTGTGCCCTGCCGGTGCCTACCCTGGCCATGGGCTGTGCCAGCTGCCAGCCAGCCAGGGTGCTCTGGGCTCCTGGGCGGGCAGTGCCGTGGGGCCCAGCAGTGAGCTAGGGAGCGAGTGGGCAGCCAGGTGCGGGCCCTACCTGGCAGGGGCCCCCTCATGCGGCTCCAGGCTCTGCCCCAGCCAGCGTCTGTAGCAACCCTGGACTCTGCAAATAAAGGCCTGAGCCCGCAGCCCCGGCTGCTCCGTGTCACGTGCCTGCGCCTGCGCCGGGCTCTGCCCCAGCACCCAAAGGGAGCCGCGGCCCGATGCTCACTCTGCCCCGGAGGCCCCGGGCGATGCTGGAGCTGCTCCCTACGCAGCCGGGCAGGGCTCTGGGGAGCCTCCTCTCTCGGAGCAGACTGTCCCCGGGCAAGAAACTTCCTGGGTCTGACCTCGGAGCATTCAACACCCCTTCCACACCGTGCGCTTCCCGCAGCGAGTCCGCCCAGGCGGGGTCCTGGGGCAGCCAGAGGTTCTGCCCCCCAACTCCGCAGTCAGCCGTGACTCTCAGCCAGCCGGTAAAACAGAAGGTTTATTAGCCGACAGGATCACAGCGTAGGGCAGAGCTTGTTAGCACAGAAATCAGTGACTCTCAGCCAAGTCCATCTTGGGAATCCTGGGCCAGGCGGCCTGGCCTCCCCCCCTGCCAGTCCCCCCCCCCAGCCCGCTAGCCTCCTGCCACCCCACCTCCGCCACCCCCTTCATGCCCCTCCTCCTTCTCTGTCTCTCGCTTCCCGGGCCAAAGGTGTCACCTGGTCGCATCCCCCCTCCTGGGTCTCAGGTTACACAGGTGCAGACAGTTGGGCAGACTCACCTGCCCTGAGGGCCTCAGCAAAACTCACACCCCCAATTCCCACCCCCGCAGTATGGTGCAGCACACA